TCATGAGCTGGTTAAAACAGAAGAAAATGGCAGCTTTCAGTTCACATCTGGTGTCGAGTCAAAGGCAGCTCTTTGTAAGGTCATGTAAGATGAGCGCGGTGTGTTTCTCGTCAGCCACCCACAGACTGACAAACTACATCTCCTTTTGTGTCCCACACGGTTGAAACAAGCATCCTCTTTTCACATGTCTCTATACACAATGCTGTCTTGTGTAGTCTGTACTTCTAAAAGCAGACACAAATTGTTGAATGTTGGGAAGAGCTCCAAAAAAAACCCAATAAGAAAAACACGATCACCTTATGGAGACAGTAACTTTTGTTGGTGGTGTCTGGTCTACATTGATTCAGAAGGAGACATGAGCAAGTTAGAGTAAGTGTACTGGTTGTTGCAGGAGAACAGGGAAATATCTTTTCATGATGCCTCGTTTGGATATGAATAATTATAAACATTTGAATATGGAAAACAGTTTCTTCCGCCGATGTTTTCAAGTACCTGTTAAAAGAAGAAAAAAAAAATCACCTAACAATTCCCTTCACTTCCTGCAGATCACTGTATGGCTCCAAAGAAGATTGGACCATGTCGCGGTGCCTTCCCCCGGTGGCACTACAACGCCGCTTCGCAGAAGTGCGAGGGGTTTGTGTTCGGCGGCTGCAGGGAAAACCTGAATAACTATCTTTCGAAGGACGAATGCACAAATGCGTGCTATGGCACGGGTATGTTTAACTTCTCTTCCAATTATGCATTTATAGTGTGCGGATTTTTTGACATTTCTCAGGGTTTTTTTTTTTTTTTTTTTTGTGGATATGATGCTCTTGTCTACATAACAGGCCTGGGTACACGTTGCTTTTAAATTGCAAATGATGCTCTTTGCATATGTTTGCGTGCATTAGAAATATATGCACGCCGGAAACGACAATCGGTGGTTCACCCACAATTGTTGCTCATGGTGGTCCTTCATTCGAAAAGCAAAAGGTTGACTTTTAGTCATATTTTCCTGTCCGCCAGTTGCACGTGAACAAGATTGTCCGCTTTAATAAAAAAACGTGCAAAATGACACTGTAAAAAGTACAGGAAGTCATTTAGGACAGATGCGGGCTGTACGCTGTAAAAAAACAGCATGCAAAATTGCACTTATACTGTATTAAAAAAAAAAAAAAGAAATTCCACAATTTAGTCAGTCCCTGAAAGGTGAACTCCGCTATAGCAAGGGACCACTGTACATCAATTATTTTGTCCAAATATCTACATAAAATGAACCAAATGTTTTTTTTATTTATTATTTTTGTCAAAGCTCTTGTGCAATTTCCATGTCGTGACGTTGCGACACAGATGACCAATGATTCGAAATTTGAATTGCAGCAAACCCGATCATCGGGCAATCATGATAATTGATAATGAGTGTTCCAGGACCCATCCCACTGTCTTTCTGGGCCACTGAATGTCTCCACTTGTTGTCTGGTGAATACTATCTTAGGTTTTGTTTTGTTTTTTTTCCTCAGAAAAAAGGGGTAGTGGTAGAGGTTTACCAGTTCCAGATCAACGAGGTATGTCGCGATTGTACCCCGTGACAGAGTTGTTTTTACTCATAGTATTCAATTTTCTAGACTGTAACATGTTTTCTTTTTGATGGTGCTTTTTCTACGTGTTCACTGGCAGAAAAGTGTGGCGTCGCATGCACCCCCGAGCAGTTCACTTGTGCAAACGGCTGCTGTTTGGAACCCGGCTTGGAGTGTGACTCAACCGCTCAATGTAGCGACGTCTCAGATGAGCAAAAATGCAAGGATTGTAAGAAGCTGTCGTGATTTTTTTTTTTTAATCACTCGTTAATCTCACATGGATGAAATTTAGGCTTATCTCAATTTATGTTTTTTTTTTTTTTTTTATAACTCGTTAAGCTCACATGGGTGAAATTTAGGCTTACCTCAATTTATATATTTTCTTGTATTTCAGTGGACAACACATTTCAGATTTTGCTGAAGATTCCAGTGGATGAGCAAAAAGGTGATTTATTTATTTTATTTTATTTATTTATTTTTTAATTCCCTAGACGAGATTGTAGTATTTTTTTTTTTTTTTATAATTCCCTAGACAAGATTATAGTCGTAGAATCTCATTTTATTTCATGTTCTGAAAAGTGTTTTGTTACAGCTACGGCTGTTGTGAAAGCGCGATGATGTATTGAACAATTTGTGATGATTTCATTGTCATTCCCTGTTGTTGTCAGTGCGCTGCACTGAGCCCCCACAGACAGGCAGCTGCAGGGACACTCTCAGTAAGTGGTACTACAACCCTCTCCAGCAGGACTGCAGTCTCTTCAACTACGGCGGGTGCCAGGGTAACGAAAATCGATTTGACACCAAGGAGGGCTGCCTCAAGGTCTGCAGAGGTGTGACAGGTGGGTGGTACGCGACAAGGTTTATTGTAGTTGAAGAAAATGAAAACTAAAATTGGGGAAAAAAATCTCAAGGTCTGCAGAGGTGTGACAGGTGGGTGGTACTCGACAAGGTTTATTGTAGTTAAAGAAAATGAAAAAAATTGGGAAAAATTTTGGGTGACAAAATAACATGTTTAAGAAACAAAATGAAAATGACAGGAAACGACTTTTTCCCTTCATAAAACTAATCGGCACAAACAACAACAAACATGTCCTCCGTTTTTGTCTTTGCCAATTGCGGCTGACAATTGACCCCATCTCCCGAATTGAAGCTAAATTAAGACCAGGCAGTACATGGAAGGACAGCTATTCACATGTTTTAAGAACAACTGAAATTTGTTTTTGTTTTTTGTTTTTGCAATGATGGACAGATCGTAAGTTAAACATTGGCTTTACTTTCCGTTGTGATGTTAATGTGTGTCCTGGCCTGTTTATTTTTAGCACTAGCACACTCTGCATGTAACCTTCAAAGCAGCATTATGCACTGCAGTTAATGTGTGTCCTGGCCTGTTTATTTTTAGCACTGGCACACTCTGCATGTAACCTTCAAAGCAGTATTATGCACTGCAATTATTGCACTTTGAGTTCTCTGCTTTTTTTTTTTTTACTCTCACACCCAACAAATACCCTGCATTTCTAAAAATAAAAACCTTGGTACTCACTGACTTCGCACCTTTCATGAAGTGGATATTTTAAAACGCACGAGCAGTGTGTAGCATTCATGTCAGTCAATCAGCCGTTTATTTTCCTTAAGCACTTAAGCTCTATTGTTGAATTAAAGCTTTAGTTTGGACTGGTAATGGAGGCCTACTTTGCTTTTGCCAACACTTGGTAAAAATTGATAGCCCCAGGAGGAGGGGGATCAAAGGAAAATTCAGCTGTAATAATTTTGTGTTCTGTTGCTTTAAGATGTGCTCAGCAGGGCTGTATGAAGAAAAGCATAACAATGCAATTACAGCAAATCCTTCAGCAATGATAATCTGTTTAACATTAAAACATTGTGAGATTGTGTGGATTGCATCGTAACAACAGCAATTTCTTTTTCCTCATTGGACCAAATAGACCAGCGCTATTTAATGTTGACCAACTATTAGCTCCTATCCACGCTTTAAAATGCAGTTGGTCTAGATTAAAATTTAAAATATGCTCCATTATTGTAATTGCATCTCGGTAGGTCCTCTCCTATAGTTTAATTTGAAGACAAGATACTTTCATCAAGCCGATTCTTCATAATTCAGTCTCTTGGTCAATGTGTCAACCCACATTGCAAAAACAAAAATAGCCATATTTTTGATTAACTTGTCAGTAATGATTTAACCATCAGCCGTGCTTGTGCAAAGGAACGATTGAGAATAGGTTCAAGTTAGATGAAATTAACTCGAGCTCAGCATTCCCTCGTATGGAAGGAGCCAGCAGTATTTGAGTCAAATTAAATTCTTTAGTTTTTCCTGCTTCTGTTGATCTGTTTTTTTTTCCCCCAGAAAAAGATGTGTTTGCAAGAAGAGAGGAGTTTGAGCGTAGAGTGTCAGAAAGCAAGACAGGTATGGAACTGTCCTTGTAATTTACAATTCAAATTGAAATGAAACATTCCCCAAATTGTTATCTTTTCATTTTTTTCTTCCATCAAATGAACCATTGATCCTTTCCAGGTGTTATAGCAATAGTAGCTGTCCTGGCTATCGCCATTGTCATCCTATTGGGCATCCTGTTGTATTGCTTCATGAAAGGAAAGAAGAAGTCGCCACAGCACCACCGTGTGCCTGTCAACAACGCTCCGCTCACCTCCATAGAAGACAGGGAGCATCTGGTCTACAACAGTACCACCAAGCCCATCTGACCCCAGAGCAGACGCCAGAGCCGTGCCATTTACTGAATGAACTCTGATTGATGAGAGACAACCAGGTCTTCTCATTCCACACGTGGAACTGTTTTGTGTGTGTAAAGTTTGTCAAGGCAATATATGTACAGGAGGCGCAGTGTCTTTGAAAATGTTAAGTGTGATGTTTAAATATTTGATTTTCACTCAAGTTTGTTTTTAACACTGTTTTGTCGACTAAACATTTAGATTAACAGGGAACTTGATTCATTTCATCTGTTAGATGACCTCTGCATACTTCATTTAGCCCCGCTTCATAATAGCCTGTTACTTCAAAGTAAAAGTCGTCTTTCTTCAAACGCAACACTTGAGCTTGATGTCATGCTCCTTTTAACTCACTGACATCTCCTGTCTGACTTGTCATGCTTTATCTTCTACTTTTTACTCCCTTGGATGATCTGAATAACATAGGAACAATCCATAATCTTGATTAAAGAGATTTTAGAAGGAATGTTTTGTTTTTAAAAGTGTTTTTATAGCCGGCTTAATGCATGCTAATACATACCTAAATAAAATAGCCTTGTTGATCACGTGACCCAAGTTGTTGTCTTGAGCAGTGTCATGATGGTTAAGCCAAATAAAAGAATTACCTCCACATGCTAGAAATGTTTCATCTTGTTTGAGCATAAAAGATTGACTTACGGGTCGTAGAATACTTGATCCATGTCCTCAAAAAGAAGTATTTCATATTGCAGGAGTGTTCGGATTGATACTTGGGCTGTCACTATTGAATGGTTTTGGAATTGATTATTCTATTGATTATACCATCGATTAATTGAATCTTTGGACAAAATTTCATTTTACATTAAAGTCTACCAAACTGTTTTTCCTCAGACTCTTCATTAACTAATTATTATATGGTATTGCTTATTGTTTTGAAGAAAAAAAAAATACAGCAATCCACTAAGCGCTTTGAACCGGGTTCAATGACTGGTTCACTCATTGTTTTCCAAAGTTAAAGCAGATATTTGCACAATTTGGACAATTTTAACAATTACTTGATAAATGATTACTTGATTGACAAATTATTGGTTGATGAATTTTATAATTGCTCAGCTGTCGATTAGTTTTGACACCTGTCAGCCTGGTTAGGGAGTGTTGATATTCTAATGCTGGTAATTACTGATGGGAAGTACTGAGCACAAATACATTTTTCAGGTCCTGTATCTGTGCTTGAGTATTTTTCTGAAAACTTAACTTTTACTGTAAAACAGGAAAAAATACATACAGGTGACCAGCTCGTTATCATCTAATAATTTCGCTTTTATTTATGTATTTATTTAGTTTTTTTGCAACGTAATCAAAGCTATGGCAGCACGTTTTGATGTCCTGGGACCTTCCCTCCATTTCCCAAGAGTACTGTACATGCAATTTAATTAAATTGCATGAACTCTACATGCAATTTTATTAACTACCTGTTTTCAAATAAGAATATGGACAGTCATCGTTGCCCTTTTTGACCAGCAGATAGCAGTGTTGGTGTGTTGAATGATCGCAATGAACTTGAGTTGGGGTTGAAGTTGTATTGTTTTATAGTTAATGAGAACCTGTTTGAAACGCGCTTCCTGTAATATTATTTTAATGGTGGAGTCTCAATACTTTTAGTTCCGAACAGTGACAGTTATACTTTGTATTGTCCGAAGGCTCTCGCTAAAACATTCAGCATAATCTTGCACGGAAGGAGAAAAGCAGAGGGGGAGAATTTAGTCGAAGCAAAAACGTTCTTTTAATCAGCGTCACATAAATTATACAGCCCAACCGATTCACTGAAGCCCTCTTTTGTGAGCCAAACTTTCAGATGACCTGACCCTCATAAATGTAATTGTAAGCGTTACAATTCGTTTTGTCTATTCACAACGCCGCCAAAGACTGTCCTTTACAAAACAGCACTATGAGAAAGAGAATGAAAATATATATCACACATGCGCATTTGAACAATCTGCTTTTATGCTTACGTTTATGTGTGTGTGTGTGTGTTTTTTTTTTGTTAAATGTAGGGTGATGTATTATTAAAATATTTTACTTTCATTCCAAAACCAAACAAGGGAGAATTTGGTGGGCCAGTACGTTGATATACACATGCAAAGGATCAAAATTGAAGTAAATAGATGGTTAAAAATAAGGGTCCGTTTGAGTACAGATATTTATTTTTGTAGTTAATAACTTTGCGCTGCCTGCCAGATGTTAGGAGGAAAACAACGGATGTCAAAGCAGTAGTCCGTTTGATACATTCACAGTCCTCGTATATTTCATAATCTTACGGTAATGGGGCATGTTGGAAGTCGCTTTGCACATAAATGCTAACCTAGATATTAATTTACAGGTATATATTAATAATAATATGTTTTATGGTGATTAAATCGTCTGGAAGTTGCTAAAATTGACCTTTGTCTGACATTGTTTCACACGATAATTTACGTTTTTCCGATAGAATTTGAACGCATCTATACTTTGCTTCCCTTGAAAAAGATGAGACGGTTCAGGCAGTTGCAATCTGGGCGAGCGAGAGACATGCCTGAAGATGTGAATGTCCGTGGGACTTTAACATGTAGAAATTAAGGAAATAACGGCGTACCACTGGTATTATTGTCAAGAAACTACCGAGTCAAACTTTTACTCCTGGCAAAAGGTCGTCGGAACGCAAGAAACTAGCCAATTCGGTACGTGAGCCACATTCAACGCACGGAGCGATTTTTTTAACTTGACGCTCTTTTTGCTGCAAGTAATTGGACAATTACGTCAAATGTAAAGAGCATTTGAAGCTGTAGTTAATATTGTTGATATGAATGGGTGCCTATTGATGTTGTTTTCGAACGTGATGGTCATAAACTAGCTTTGTTGTAACGGTTACAAGAGGACCTTTGAAAACGCTTCCGTCCTCAAGTCAAAGCTACAACTACATACTGTAGTAAGTTCTACATTTCAGCATATGTCTCGTTACTGTTTCCCAGCCACGAGCCTTCTTTGGCTCAGTTATGCAAAACAGTGCAGCACATTCCTGACGAGCTGCCCCTCAATGTGGAACTCTGGCATACATGGCGTAAAGATTTATTCGTACTGTAGTACTGTGCCGAATTGCTTTTGAGTGAGTGTGTGCGTGTTTGTAATTTCACAATTTCAACGTTTGGGAGTCCTGTTTGGGGGCGTGAGTTTCAGTGAGATAAGAGATGTTTGCGTTTGAACTGGACACTTTCAGTTATGCGAACTTTGCTCAGTTGCTTCACTCTTTTGTGTGTGTGTGTGTGTGTGTGTGTGAGTAGCTTTTATGTTTAAGGTCCAATCCTGTGAGAATAGCTAAGGCGCTTGATCCCACAGAATCATTTGCCATTTCCTCTTGCTTGCTTACCCCCCATGGTGCCCACATTTAGCCCAGCCAAAGCCAATTGTTCTTCTCTAATGAGTGCCTCAGTGTGATCCCGCAAGTTTCTTCTTTCAAAATGCAAGCTGAGCGAGGTCAATGACCAGCTGCCAAAGAATAAAAGACCAAAATCAATCAGCTACTGGCGAAAAGTTCCATCTTCTCCCTTTTTGACCCCACTTGACCTCGCAGACAATATCTCAAGATCATTTCAAGCGCAAATGTTTCCCCCAATACAATTAGCAGCCACCATCCAGGTGGTCTAGAGAGGAAACTGCCCAAGTGTTTCTTGGACCTTAGCTCTGTCACATATCTCATTTTTGCAGAACTTTAGGAGGCTGCATCCGTGATGAAATTACCTGACCTAATTTTGACATGCATCAGAATTGTCTTCACATTTTTAGTGTTTTTAGTGTTTGGTTGAGGCTTGAAATCGCCTAAAGTTGCAGCTTTTGCCAGCTCCGGGTAGATTCACACGTCGAGAGTCAAAAGGGAACATTTGAGACAAACATACGACAGCATTGTTTGTTTGAAAATGGCGGAGCGTGTGCCATAAGTGATTTAGCATTCCAGGCGCCATATGAAGGTCAAGTCTGTGTTTTTATATCGTTGCAGTCCTGCCAAATCCACTTGAAGGCACAAAGCAGCTGCAAGTCCCACAAATGCTCAAATGGGTAGCTGACGATTATCTGACAGCCTTGCCCTTTACCTGCAAACAATGTGAGGGATGTGGGGTATGGTGACATGGCAATAACTGAGTAAAAGCTGCAACCTTATTTATTTATTTTTTTGTTTGTTTCACATGAAACAAAAACACCATCCTCAATTGCACGTGCAGTACCTGGGCAGTAGTGTTCATGGTGCTCTGTGGGTGTTACTCGCTGACCGCGACGTCTGTTCAAAAATGCGGTGGAGTCAAATAAGTGGCTCATTTGTTGTGTCTGTGTGGGCAGTGCTTTTGTCGAAAGTGAGGATTGGATTGAGATGAAGAGAGAGGCTCAGGGTGTATTGTTTACCCCTGTGAATAGAAAGCCGTTCGTCTCTTGTGGCCTGTGTGCGAGGCGATACAGTAAACTGCAGGAGTAATGTGGGAAAGACGGTCTCTGGGTGGCATTCTTCGCTGAGGAAGACGAGGTAAGAGGGAGGGTCCTGCAAGATAAACATAGCACCAGCGCTGAAATATTAAAAATAAATAAATACATTTGGCCAATAGTCTCTTGCTTGCTGTGTCATCGGGTTGCATTCATATTTGTTTTCCAGATAAACAAGCCCTGACCATCGGTGCCCCTTTTAGTCTGTCCCCACCATGTCTGACTGAAGATATCCGACAGGGCCATTTTGGGGCAGACGGCGAATGCAACTTGACACGGTTAGCTCATCCCTGAGAGAGCAGGAGCTCTCCGAAGTATTTTTATCTTTTTCTCCCATCAGCTTGTTCTGCATGACCAAACGTCAATATGGGGCCCATAATTGTTGCTTAAAAGAGTCATTAAGTGCCTACTTGCACATCACTTTGCTCTGAGTTGGCAGCAGTCTTCGCATCATCCACTTGGTGCTCAGTCACAAGGGAAGAAGAGCAATCCGGAATGACTCGCTTCGCTTTGAGGACTTTGAACTAAATCCTTGTGAAGCAGTAAATATAAAAATATTTTACAGCTTGGGATAAAACTCTGCTGTTTGTACTCATGCATTTCTAACCCCGGGTCCAGGCAGTGAGGAAATTGTCGCTTTTCTACCCTGATTTTTTTCTCACTAAAATAAAACTCAAGCTGTCAGTTTGATTAGGTTAAATGATCTGCAATCAGATGTTTCTTTTGGGTCAGTGCCTTTCAGTTCTCCGTGTACTTCCCCCTCCTCTGTTACCCCCCACTGAAAATGGCAGAGAAGGGAGAAGTATCGTTTTTGCCCCAGCTTCCTCTATAGACGGGCTAACTGGTTTCACTTCACCAACTATCCAGATGCCTCATTAAATGGTGAAAAATGTTCTCGGAGGGTTTTTTTTTTTTGGTCATGGTTCACTGTCCATGCTCACCTGTGCATGTTTTCTCATCCATCCCCTTGCACACTTTTGTTTTGCTTTCAAGAAAGGCATCCGAGCAATGGATTAGCGTGAAGCCCGGCAATTAGAGGAACAAGGAAGAAGTGGTCCATCGGTGCTCTTTTGTTTAATACCATCGGAATGGCCTGACTTGCATCTGTCTCCTATTAGGGAGAAAATTGCTGACTCCCTTGCTCTGCGGGTAA